GTTTCTGTTCTTCCCCCAACTTACAACCTTGCACTCTTTTAATGCTTAATCAATAAACCGGATCTTACGTGAATGTTCCCACTACTCTCCCTTTTGCAGTATACTCTTTGACTATAGGGATTTCCACTGTCACTGTAATTCACATTATATGTTATAACAAAAAAAATACTTGATCCAAACAGTTAAGAAAATTGTGAAACGTATTTATCAGAGGGAACACGTTTGCCCACGTATCGCCCACCCCTAAGGCTTTGAGCACGCTGTTGACAGCTTACATTACACGTTTGCTTTCCCAACGTATAGCATATTCTCCCCCCCCCCGCCTATTTTTGTTCTACAAATCCAGGTGTTCTACGTCTGGTTCGATGCACCCCTCGGATACCTGTCCATCACAGCCAACTACACGCCGGACTGGCGTCGCTGGTGGCTCCCAACCGCAGCCGAACGTGACCAACAAGCCCCGGTCGAGTTGTATCAGTTTATGGCCAAAGACAATGTACCATTCCATGCGATCATCTTCCCAGCATGTCTATTGGCGGCACAACAAGGTCACACGTTAGTAAAACATTTGTTATCCACCGGTAAGCGGATCGATATATTGAATTTGGTGTTCGGAAAAAAAGTACCAGTGTTGTGGAATTTATCGAATCACCGAATTTTCTCGCTTATAGTCTCTTTACGTTATCTATATTTTTCCTGGATCATCTGTAGTTCCTTTTTCAGTTTTAATTGAGTTGATAACCATACCACACTATGGCGTCAACTTATAGATCTGCGCCAAATTCCTTTGCCTCAAATGATCAGCTGATCAGTATCGTATTTTGTTCTCTGCTCGAGATCCTTTTCTGAGGTTAGACCGGCACACCATAGTGCATGGTTAATGGTTGTAGAAACTGAACTGAACTGAGCTACCTTCCACTTCATTGCTACACTATTTACCAACTAAAATTATAATGCCAAGGCTTCATACCGAACACATTGAAGATTCTCGTGAATGCTGGGTTTACGATCTCCATGCGTGGAAAACAAAATACAGACAGAATAGAAATAAACTTGGATAAAATTGATGAGATGCGCTCTGAACCAGTAGTCGGGCCCAATTCATCGTGATAATCAATTTGTGTTTCCTTGCAGAATATATGAACTACGAGGGTACGAAGTTCTCAAAAAGTCGCGGTATCGGTGTGTTTGGTGATGGTGCAATGCGTTCGGGGATTGCGTCCAATATTTGGCGATTCTATCTGCTCTATCGACGTCCGGAATCCCAAGTGAGAACTATGGGTATTTATTCGCGAAAATTGTTGCTGTGGCTTTATTTTTTCGGTTTTTTACTTCCAACGGAATCACATCACTTTATTCATCGCGAATCATTCCAGCACAAAATTATGATCAAAGTTTATTTGGTAGCCTCGGTGGGATTCAAACCCACGCATGGATGACACCTACGCTTGTGTACAGTGCACAATCCCCAAGATTGTCATGGTCTAGTGTCTGAAATTCCTGAAGGACCTATCGAAGATATTCTCAGCTTCCGCTATGGGGTAGTGGCGGCGCGGTGGTTTAGTCACTGTCACCGGTCTGCTTTCGACTCTATAGTCCGAGGTTCGAGCCCCGCCCCAACCGCTATCCGCCTTTGGTGATGGGCAACTTTGCTGTCGTCCGGTTCAATACCACGCATAACCTAGTGCGCTGTTTAACTAAAGGCTCCTAGTAGACCCCGATAAGAAAGCCTTGTATTTCGGCTACAATTCAATCAAGAGTCTGCACATTTATACCGAGCAAAAAATAGTCAAACTACATCTATTTTCCGGTATGATAATACAGCAGTTGTTGATTTGTATGTGACAAAATGTCGGTTATAACTTTGCAGCAAGTATGGGCTATGGAGCAGCGCAGTAAAAAGAATTTGAGCTACTTTTACCGAAACGGTCTACCAGCACTCAAGAATTGACACCACATCATGTCATGATATATAGAGATGTATCAATCAGAAAGTGGATCCATATCGAGATGGCGGGCATGGTTCAAAATCGTTTACAGAAAATGTCGAGCGCGTGTTTAGAAGTTTTCAGGCGGAATGGCCAAGCACTCGTTAGTAAAAGGACTTCAATAGGCAATCTTCTCGGGGGTAGGAAAATGCTGTTATCTTTCGATATTTGCTTCTGGAAAAAATTGATAATGTGATGCAGTTTTGTTTCTGCCTAAATTATCAAATATTGTTGATCACCGTGCATATGAGAGTTCAAATCATCTGAAACTCTATGAATGTGTACAACACTCTAATCGCGAGGTGTTTTATATGGGATTTATTGTTAGACTCTCATTTGATCATGAAGCCGAAATTGTTCCTCATTTATGAACACATGTGTTAACGCGCTTATAATTTCGATTCGCCCGGTTTGTTCCATGCACACCTTGTGTACATCATTGTCGCAGTTATCCATCATGTGTCTCATCACGTGGGGGTTCTCATTTGTCTGTCTTTTTCATTTTCCCGTGCACAGGATAGCGCGTTCTCGTGGGACGATTTTGTTCTGGTGAATAATAGTGAGTTGCTCAATAATCTGGGCAATTTTGTGAACCGGTAAGTTGCTTTCCCCCCTTCCAAACGGAACACTCATCCCCCGTGGAATGCTTGACTAACCGCTGGAATTTATGCATAATAAAGAGTAATTTGGAAGCGCAGGGGGGGGGGCTGGTGAGTGATACAGACGGCCTGTAGTAAACCGCGTGCAATGATCTCAACCACAGTCATTCCAAGTCTCTCGGTTTTTGGCGATAATCGCCTTAGGGGGATAGTCAGTCGTTTTTCACTGACACTCATGAGTTCGAGGTTCGAGTCCCACCACAGTTGCCAACTTTTGATGAAATAAGGCATAATTCTCGCACCGGTCAATAGCATCACTGTGTCCGTTTGAAGCCTTGCGTAGTTCATCTCCTTGTCGTCCGAGGTTGAGGTTGCTGTTTTATTATAGCCTTACTCTTAGTAGTGGTATTATATTTCTCACAGTTCTGAAACTCTGTTCCAAAGTAGTCACTTTACTACCATCCTAATAAAGAAAAAATACATCTATCATTCGCTCATGCGCGGAATAACTTTCGGTTACCCTGGGAAACTCACAACCGGAGCATTCAGCTAGCCAGTGTCTGACCCAGAAGGCCACGGGGCGGTGTGAAAAAAACCGCAACTCATTCCGGGCCGGTGCTCAGGTAATCGGATCCTCAGTACCTTGGACAAGGTCCTAGACGGTGACCATAAAATTGTGGGTGTGATTCGTGCACCGCTGCTAAATTGGCTTGGAGCCACTTTTGGTTGAGAATTTCCCCTAGGGGAACTGCTAGTAGCCCACCGTTAAGCATATGGCTTTTCGTATTCTCTCTTTGTTGATTAAGTACTTCCGCCACGGGAAGGCGGTGAATAGGGGCTCCCCTCAGCAGAGTATTTGGTCAAATGAGCTCAGTTCGCCGAGTGCACATGAAAAGGGAGACCCTCGACACACCTCTGAACACAGTGAAGCCCTCTCAGGGGCCTAGCTGTAGGTCATGGTAACTGTGAGTTTCATCTCTGTCACTGTTCAAACGCCTAGAAAAAATCTTGATTTTGTTCGGCCTCTGTAAACGAAACAGAGGAAACGTTTGCGTTAATCCATCTGAGGAGTTGAACATGACTGAGAGATGATAAACTGTACTAGTGCTGTTTACAAACTAAACATGTTCTTCGTTTGATTGACATTAGGTGATTTTTGTTCTGCTTTTGGTTTACCTGTCGTCTCTCTCTGTCTCTGTTTTGTGTGTTCAAATTGTTCAAATCAGTCAGTGAATGGTATATCCCTTTTTCCCTCACCTCCCATCCAGTGCGTTGGCATTTGTGGCTCGATTCTACAATTCTCTCATTCCGGACATGACAGTGTTGGAATCCAGTGACACGGAATTTTTGGCCCAGGTCAATCAGCTGATCGAGACGTATATAGGTCACATGGAGGCGTGTCGTTTGCGCGAAGGATTGCGACAAATTTTAGCCATCTCTCGTCTGGGCAACGGGTATTTCCAAGTGAACCAACCTTGGGTTGCGTACAAAAAAGAGGAGACTAAGTGAGTGTTTCGAACAATTTCCATACCACCAGATGAGTTTTACTGCATCCGCTAGAAAACGCTTTGGTGGGTGATGATGGTGGTGTCTAGGTTCAGAAAACTAGTCCGAGCTTTTCAGTTAACGCTTCATTTGCTATATACACGACGAATTCCCATTTGAAATTTAACCAAATCCTCCATTACCCACATGAAATAATCAGTCAGGTTGTGAATGTTTCCAACCGAGTCCTCAGCCCGGAGGCTAGTGCTGAGTTGAGCAGGGTCCGTGGCCCGCAACAAATTCTCAAAGATGGGTTGTGCTATATCGTATAAATGGAAAATGAAAAGCGGTCTGACCAGCTGCTCGGTGGCGTAGCGTGGGTAGCACGCTTGCGTTCCGCCCATGAAGTCCCGGGTTCGATCCCCCCCCCCCCAGTCGGGTCGATGGATTTGCTCACCGCTGATGAGACCCAACCAGGTCGAAACAGCTGTCCAGCAGTGCCACCGAGCTTTTCAGTGCCACGCTTCATTTGCTATTGACACGACGAATTGTCATTTGAGATTGAACCAAATCGTCCATTACTCACATGAAAACTAGTTTTATGTGAGTGATACCATCCGATTGATGTACACGATTTAACGGGTTTTTGGAGTTCATTTGATCCACCCTCTCTCATCCCTCGTGATTAGTATGAATTTATTTGAACACCCCATACTTCTAACTGTATTTGACTGTTTTCTACGTAAAAATACGTTGCACGTCGCACATGTATCTGATGTTTGTTGCCCCTGCGCAGCGTTCACTGACCAGCTGGACGAAAAATGCAAACCCTTGATGATTCCAATCTCAAGTAGGATGATCCCGATGGTTTTGGCCAGCTGTGCCACTGTCACCCACGCATCCTCGTCTACCGTTGCTTGCACAGCAGCAATGTGGTCCGCTGTGGTGGCCACCACAAGTCAACCATATCGTGTCTCTTCATGCTTGAATTCCGCAAGCCAATCAAACACAGTATGTCTTGAAGACACGTCAACACAAAAGATAGCTCGGAAATGATCAATAATCCACGGCTGTTTTAAACCACGTTTGTGGTCGTAGAAAATCATCGCCCATATCCAGTGTGGCATCGACTGAGTCCCATCCTTACAACAGTCCGCGTCTGTCGCGACCCTCGTATAACTTGTGAGCTGTGCTCTCTCTCTCTGTTGGCTGTGTTGTGATATTTGGTTCTGTATGTGTGTGTGTGTGAGTTGCAATCACTGAACAGTGGATTCACAACACGATAGATTACAGTTCACGTTTTCCTTGCCCCCGGTCATCCATCTGCACCACGTACTCGTCGTGTATTGAACACCCGACCATGTTTTTCTCAGCCCCCTCGTACATCTCTTCGCATCAGTACATTCTTCTCGTTGCCACCGCTGTAGTGCTGTCAAATGTGTGATGTATACAGGATAAAAATAGATTGTCGGTGTTCGAACACCGCTGTCTACATCGTATTGCACGAGTCTGGTGGGGTAACCGGACGAGCAATGCTGAGGTCAGGCGTAGAGTTTTAGGTAGTCGCGGTCGTCCACTGGAGCAGGTAATTGACCCCCATAGATTACGGTGGTTGGAGCATGTTTTACGCATGTCACCAGATAGGTTACCACAGCGAGCGATGTTTGCCGAGGCTGGTTACGGATGGAAAAGGATCAAGGGTGGTCAAACTAGGACCTGGAATGAGGGTATGAGAACCATCCGCGGGAGACTGGGTCACATAGGTCCCATTAGACTCCCTGACTGCGGGCCCCGAGATGATGGTCACCGATGGTTACGGACACTGAGTGATTTGGCCGGGTGTCGCAAACAGGGGTGCTCATGCATCGACTAATTATTCTCTTAACACCATTCTATATGAATTCTCTATCTTCTGCTTGAATTTGCTCTCAACATTCCAACCTTCATCCTGCTCTTTTATTTAAATGAGCGACCAAAAGACCGACTAATTACGAATGGGCTGACCGAAGTTATAGGCGGACGAACTGTCAAGGCAGGTTCCGAACACTGAAAACCAAAACAGTAACCCTAGGGACAGGATAACGAAACAACTGTCCGCGACGATGGGCTGGGTTAGTGTTTGAAGATTGGATAATAGGAAAGGGTGATCGATCAGTCCGATGACCTGCCATTGAAAATGATCATTATGATGATTATTATGATTATATAAATGATCGTGTGGGGAAATAGCAGAAAAAGAAGTTCCAGACCACACGCTGCTGTAGTATTACAGTGCAGACTGACTTTGACCTTTGTATCTTGGGCGATGAAGTGGGGTAGGAGACCGAGGTTCAAGAAACGCCTACCACGAAAAATGAAATCAATTTTTCCCCGCACGATAAGATATACTAAATTGAAGCAATCAAAGAAGCAAAATAGTTACGTAGAACCAAAGTTTCAATGTGGTGTTTTGCAAAAAAAAAGAAAAGAAGTGAACGGAGGTTATCGATACTAACTCACATTTCTGCTAACTTCTCGCGAATGAATCGGTTCCATGGATGCCGTAAAAATTACTGTCAGTGTTTAGGTGCAGGAGGGGGGCTGGTATACCCTGTCCACGTTTGTGATATAGTTCGAACAGGTTGCTCCAGTGCCTTGTATGCTTTACTTCTATCTCAGTTGCTGTTATTCTCCCTAGACTACTTCAAATTAATCAGTCCTTTTCTGTCCTTTGTACTCCGACTCCCGTGTTTCCGAACCGCAGACCTCGTGCTGGTGTCGTGATCGGTGTGGCCGCCAATGTGGCTGCTCTATTGGGTTTACTGCTCCAACCATTTATGCCCGCGGTGACCAAACAGATCTGGTGTGAACAGTGCAACCTACCCGAGGACCGCCTGAGTTTGGTGCCCATTATGCGCCAATCCTGCCGTTTATATCAAATCCTACCAGCCGGGCATCATATTGGCAAGGTGAGTGGACGGCGGAGTGTTT